AGGCACCGCGGCCGGGGTGGGGCGTGTGCGCCCTGCGCGGCCGAGCGAGGCTGACGTGCCAGCCCAAGCGCGCGCCCGGGAGCGTGTGTGCGGGAGTGTGTGCGCACACGCCTTCGGGGGCCGGAGGGACACTGCAGTGGGCTTCTCCCTGGCCCCGGCCTTCGGGCAGCTCAGACCCTAGCCTGCCGGCAGCGCCTTTGGGAAGCAGCTTGGCGCTTTCATCTCCCCGAGCCTACCTCTCCATCCTTTCATCCACCCCTCGCCGCCGATCATACTTTTCCTTTTACCTACGGGGCCGCGGCCGGCCACCCCCCCAACCGGTGCAAACACCCAAACCGTCTCCAGTGCTCTCCTAAGCCAGGATTTTCCCATCTGTCTTTCCTTGGGGCTCCTCCACGAGCCAGTCTAAGGCTTCCCCCCATCCTTGGAAATTGTTTTGTTGGACTGCTGTACCGAGGCGTGTAAAGCTTGAGGACTTTATTATCATTTTATTCTTTTCATTTCCTCCCCTTCTGGGCAACGGAGCAATGAAATTTCCAATCGAGACGCCAAGAAAACAGGTGAACTGGGATCCTAAAGGTTGGTATCTCCGACTTTCGGCCGCCCCCGCCCTGCCTCGGTCCCCGTCTCCTGGTGTGCGCGCTTCCTTGAGTGGAAGCACTCTTGCTCCTGGCAGCGTGTGTCCTGAGGCGGGGGAATGCGCCTGGGAACTGCAGCGCGGGTGGGAGGAGGGTGGAGGCAGTGTGGGTTCCGAACCCAGATAGTGCCTGCCATTATCATATAATCATTGTCCCTCCTGGATTGTTTCTAAATCTATTTAAAGATATGATACACCAAGCCGGCTGTTGGGCTTGAAATTGCATCAAGTGTCGGCATTTGCTTTTGACTTTGTGTGTGCGAGTGTGTATATATGTGTGTGTCCTTTGTTTCTGGTGATCTTTGTCTCTCTGGCAGATGGGTGGGGTGCCTCCCCCTGGACCTGGAGCTGCGCCACATGCCCAAGGTGTCCTCAGTGGGAAAGGTTTCCTGGCAGCAAGTGTGGCTGGGATCTGTAGCAACGGTCCCTAGGGGTGGCCCTTCTCATAGGGCATGCAGAATAATGGAGCCCACAGGGCCTCCCAGTCTTCTTTCAATCTTATTACCAAACCAGGGAGCTAGTTTGGCTCAGGTCGGAGTAGAAGGGGGAGTGGGGAATGGTTTGTAAGAAGGGTGGGGCTGGCAGGGGCCCAGGGAGGGGGCACACTGTGTGTCTGCCAGAGTAGTGCTGGTTCACATGCATTTTTGAATGTTGAGTGATGTTCCCTTGGTGCAGAAGGGTGTGATTAAGACAGATTTCTGTGTGCCTACATAGGCCACCGTGTCTGTAATTAGCATACAGATGTTAAGGCTGCTCTAGAGTGATCAGTATAGGAGCAGAACAAGTTAAAACAGGGTGTCCAGTTGTGACAAGTATGTTCTTTAGCATTTCTCTTAGCTCACCCAAAGGCTGAGTCTGGCTAGGCAACGCCTCTGTTTAAGTACTGGTGTTGAAATTTATTTGGTGTGTGTATGTGTGTGAAATGTTCTTTATAAGCACATTTCTTTTTCTCCAGACTGGAAAGAGGAAACTCATTCATTTGTTGAGTAAATGTTTTATGAATTACCTGGCTGTTAAAGAGTGAGTGAAAGGGTCTTGCCCTTTTTAGAATGAGGTGTTTTTAAACACCTTAAATACAACCTGAACTGCCTATTTTGTCTCTAAATCTCTGAAAATATGAAAAGTGTGCCTTGCCTTTTTTTTTTTTTTTTGTATTCCTTCAAAACATATTTATCCAATACCTGCTACATACCAAGCACTGTCCTAGGCACTGGAGGTACAGTCATAACAGGAAGACAAAATCCCTGCCTTCTTGGAGTTTACAGTGAGGGAAATAGATCTAAATCAATTAGTGCTTGGAGGAGTGCATAATTAGAAGCTTATGTGTGTTCCATGGAGGAGAGCATCAGGGTTTTAAGAAAATATCTGATAGAAGATATTGACAAAGACCAGGGAAGGAGGGTGGTCAGGGAAGGCTTCCTTGAGGAGGTGAGACTTGTACTGAGACCTGGAGGATGTGTAGGAGTTAACTGGCTAACGAGGAGGGGAACTGCTGCAGAAGAGGGAACAGCAAGTGCAAAGGTCCTGAGGCAGAAGAAACCTGTATCTTTGAAGAACTGAAAGGAGGTTCCCATGGCTAGAGCAAAGAGCAAGGGAGCTTGTGTTTTGAGAAGTGATTGGAGGATCCAAAGGGTGGAGACCCCAAAGCCCTATGTTGGAGGTGGGGTAGGGTTGTGGGATGGGAAAAGGAGGGTAGTCTTTACCTTAAGCCACTGAAGAGTTTCAAGCTGAGGACTGACATGATCCGAACTGTTTCAAAACAAGTGCTTTGTGGCTCTTGTGGATGTGGGGGGCCAGATATGATGGTGGCATGGACCAGGGGTGTTGCTGTGGGCATGGAGAAGTGGGTGGAGTAGAGAGCTATGGGGGATGTGAAATCCACAGACTTGGCGTGAATAATGTGTGGATGTAGAAGAACTGGAATGGCTGGGATGGCAGCCAGAGCAGCACCAGTCTTGAGGGAAAGCTCTTGAGTTCAGTCTAGGACTTGTTGAATGAGAGATGTTCTTGAGACATCCAAAGGGTGTGTCAAGTGGGTAGTTGTCTAAAGGGGTTGGGATCTTCAAGGAACTCTGTCAGAGAAAGACCCCTACCAGACTGATTTTGTGCAGCTGGGCATGGCTTTTAAAATACATTTCTATATGATTGTCATTCTGTATATTCATGTCACAGTGATAAACAATGAATTTTACACATTTTACAGCCTGACACAGTGAAGAAAAGCATGCAAGTAGCATCTTCAATTATAACCAATGCTGCTAAAAAATGTAAAGACCTCAATAAAAATAACAACATTTAACAAGCGATCAATGCATGCCAGGTATTTTGTGTACATTATTTTATACATTTATTTACACATTATTTTTCTGATGGTATAAGTGTTATTATCACACTTGACACTTCATTGCCATCATGACAGCACTAAGCTGCCTTCTGGTGAGGTGCTCTGACTTCATGCATGGTTGTTTCTAAAGATGGGTGTGATAATAATCTTTCTTAGCCAGGGGGTGGAGGTAGGAGGAGAGTGGGGAGTGAGGGTGGCATATGTCACATCTGTATAGGATTATATGCCAAGCACTGGTCTAATGCTTTAAGTAAATTAATTATTTTTTTGGTGGTTGGCTGGTATGGGGAATACATATATTAATTTAATTTTCACAAAAACCTTAGGAGGAAAGTATTGTCCTAATTCTACAGATGAGGGAAATAAGGAACAGAGAGGTTTAGTAACTTGCCCAAGGTTGCACAGCTAGTGGGTGGTGGGACTGGACTAGAATCTGGGCTCTTAAGCACTCTTCCAGGCTGTGTCTGTTGTCACTGGGACCTCTCTGGCTCTTGCCTGGTGAGACTCCCAAAGTTCAGGGACTGGAGAAGCTTGTTGGGAAGAGGAAAAGGAGAGGAGGAGGAGGAAGAGGGATTGGAAGAGAAGGAGGAATGAGAAAGAGTGAGGCAGAGAACCAGCCTTTCCCAACTCGTTCCTTTCTCCTCTAACCCATCTAGCATCTTGACTTCTTGTGTCTGGTGGATAAATCACTGGCCGCTGGACAGACTTTGGGTCTGTTTTTTTTTTTTGTCTTTTGTCTTTTTCCGTGTCCGGCAACAGATCGCAACCCTCAGTGTTGCCCCCGTACCGGACCGGGGACCGGCAACGGGATCGCAACCCTCGGGGTTGCCCCCGCGCCTCGCTCAGCCAGTGAGCGGGAACCGGTCTGTATGTGGGATCTGAACCCTCAGGCGGGAGCGCCGCCGCGCTTCCCAAGAGGCGCACTATCCAGTGCGCCACCGGGCCGGCCCTGGGTCTGTTTTTTGAAGTTCAGGTTTACGCAGACCAGGTGTGTTTAGCAGGGCAAAGAGGAACATGAAAGATGAAGGGGACCTTAGTGTTATAATGGAAAAGTGGAGGGACAGTTCATGTTACGTGGACAGTAGGATTTGGCTGTTAACAGACTTGAGCCTTCAGGCAGAAGTGCTCGTGAGTTGCGGAAGGAGGTTGCAATTATGATGTTTTGCTGACAGCCCCATTACCTACAATTTAATAACACAAAATGAAGGTGGTTTGAGAATAGATTGGTTTTGATTGCACTTGGGTGAGTTAAGCAAAGCACTGTGAAGAGGTGGACGTGCAAAAATAAGATCTAGATGTAAAATGATTAGTTTCTGGTCAGCTATAGCCTTCCTCTATATTCACAGAACGGAGCCTTCTGCAAAGGGAGTTACTGTTTGTGTAGGACCTCCACAGCATTAGATTGACACTATGTCTTAGCTTTCATAGCAGACTTTATGTGCATTTTAAATTACCAGGATTACTTGTTGATGATTCTCTGCTTAAAATTGAGATTAGCTTGCTGCTTATGTATGTTAAAAGCTTTTAAAAACTAGTAAGAAAAGCAAACAGTATTCCAATGGCTTGAGGCAAGTAGATCAATATGGTGTAAAAAATTTTGGATTTTGGGTCAAAAGAACTAGGTTTTAGAATCAGCCACACAGCAATAATTAGCTGTGTGACTTTGGGCTGATCTTTTAGCCTCTCTGGGCTTCACTTTCCTCCCATGAGGAAAGGGCCCATTGACATTGCCTCTGTCTACCTCTTTCTTTATTTCTCCAGCTCCCCCCTTGATCTGAGCTTTGGGCCACTTGGCTTCCTTTTGTTTCTCAAATAGATCACACTTGGTCCTGTCTCAGGGCCTTTGCACTTGTGGTTTCCACTGCTTATAATGCAGAAGGTTGGCTTTTTTCCATCATTTGGATCTCAGTTCAGATGTCTCCTTGTTAGCAAGGGCTTCCCTGTCCCATCTGAATACCTCTCCTCCTGTTCCCCAGGCTTGTCACTTTCTTTTTTTTTCTTAAAAGATGACCGGTAAGGGGATCTCAACCCTTGGCTTGGTGTTGTCACTTTCTATTATGTCACCTCTCATTGTCTTCCTGGCACTTCTCATGATCTGAAATCATCTTACTCATGTGCCACCTTTGATGCCAGCCTCCTTCACCAGCATGTGAGCTCCATGAGCAGGGACTTTCCCTATCTTGTTCATTGTCATCCCCCCAGTGCCCTGGGAAATGCCTGACACATGGGAGACACTCGTTAACCCTTTGTTGAATGAATGGGTGGGTGGTGGGATGGATCAGAGAGGATCAAAGGCTTTATGCATCACAGAAATTCCAGGACTCTAAACTACAAACGGTGAGGTACAAATAAGGAGAAAAGAAGATAAACTCAAATAATGGGATATCAGAAATGACACTGATATTCCCACTTCATTGCAGGCTCCCAGCTCTCTAAAGCCTCCAGCAACTGTTTTCCTTTTTTTCTCCCCTTTCATTAGGAGCAAAAATGCTGAATGGGAGTGGGGTGGGTGTGGGTAGGTGGGCTGATCTAGCCTGGCAAATATATGGTCAGTGTCTAATTAATAATTTGGCTCATATTAGGTATCAATGTGTGGCT